AGAAGACAGGAAAAAGTATGTTGCAGGACTCTCCTGCTACAAGGTTGTATATGGTTACATTTCTGGACTTATGTGTAAACATAAGAATTATATACATTTTTATGCCTATTTTTAAAATATATTTTAATTTTTAAATGTTTTTCATCACATTCTATAGGGACTTAAAGTTCAACATATCAATACTTGATGAAAAATACCTGTTCCGTGTTATGCCTAAGATGTTTGATATTCAGACAGATAGTGAGGTTAAGCTTAACAGGCTAGGTTGTATGGTAATAACAATAAACTTCTCTTCTGGAGGGTTAACAACCTAAGTTTGCAGACCAAAATTAGAGAAAAAGGAGGGCTGCAAGGAGAGCCAACATTTTGGCCCTAGCCTTCTAAGGTCAGTTAGGACTCAGGACATATCAGAACTTGTACTGTAACATCATGTAACTCGGTAGTGTCCCAAATTTTCTGATGAAGGAGATTATGGGGCCAAAGAGGAAAGTGATCGATGATGTAGAGTGTGCCTAAGGAGAGTCATATGGAGAGAAAACATTCTCTCATGCTTTCACAGAGAACACATTGGCCAAGCCATGGCCGTGACTCATCCACATGGCTGACACCGACAAAGGTTCTACAATCTGAGGTACAGAATCTCAGCATAAATCCAGAGGCGATTTCACTGACCTTATTAGATCCCAAAGCTATAACTTTTGTTGCATAGGGCTTGCTTTACCTTGGTCTTAACCATCCAGCAGAAATGTATAAAAACAAAATATAAGAAGTAAAGCCATGGTGTTATGTTGAGCTGTAGGGGTTGTGGCTCTTGATAGAGGACATGCTCCAGGCCCTGCAGTCAATTTCCATCACCAGGCAAGCACTTATTCTACTGAGTTATCTCCCTGGCCCCATGGTTGTCCTTTTATGGCAGGAAATTTTCTTTCTTTCTTTCTTTCTTTCTTTCTTTCTTTCTTTCTTTCTTTCTTTCTTTCTTTCTTTCTTTCTTTCTTTTTGTATTTTAAGTCTACAAGGTGTTCAGGGTCTCACTACTAGATTAGAATCATTGTGATCCACCTGTTTACAGCCTCCCAAGAGCTGGGATTACAGGTGTGTGCCACCATTCCCAGTCTCAATCGCCATCTCAGCATGCCCCGGGGTGGGGCTGGGGATCAAACCCCCTGCCCCTACACCTGCTTGCAGGTGCTTGAATCCGCTGAGCTATTTGGCCGACCCATGGCAGGAAATTTTCTTAGCCATGAGAGGTATTAAAAACTAGAATTAGGGCCAGGTCCACTGGAGAGATGGCTCAGTGGTCTAAAGCACCTACTTGGAACAAGCTTGGCAAAGCACAGGGACCGCGGTTCAATCCCCCAGCACCACATGCCAGCCAGCCCCACCCCCAGGTGGGCTGAGCTGGCCACACACACACACTAAAGGAATAAATAAATAAATAATTTTAAAAAACTAGAATTAAACAGCAAAAGCAAAAGGAACACTAGCATGGTTTATCAGTGGCAACTTTAAAAAAAAATCTTTCCTTAGAGAATTTTATTCATAAAATAGATGATTTGTCAATAATTTCCTGTGGCCTTTCTTATCATGGGACTGTTCTGTACAAGCTCCAAAGATCTTAATTATTTGACTCAATTCAACAAATGCGTGTCAGCTTTGCACCTGACCCTGGGCATTGCTATGACTGAGTTTACGTCACCCCAAAAGGCCTCCACGAGTGAGCACTACCTCATCTCACCTACTGACACTTCCATTCAAGCCATTGCCCAGTCAGAAGCCTCACTTTCCCTCCCCACTCACCTTCATTAATCTGTCCTCCTATCTCCCACCTACACAGGCAGTCTCTGCACTCTCCACTTCACCCCAGTCTCCCTGGCTGTACCTCCTAGCAGCTTTGGATTGCTGTGATAGTCTGATAACCTCCCACCCTTGATCTGGCTGGCTCCATGTCAACCCACACGTCATCTTCTGAACATAGAAATCAGAAACCATGCCACTCTGCTTCATATTTCTTCATATTTCACTCTGCTTGTTGGTTTGTAAGAAAAGCAGGAGGTGTGGCTTCTGAGCCAGACAGCTGAGGTCTCCAAGTGTATTTGAACTCAAGCTCCAGAACCCCAGTAGCTCACTCCCTGACCTTCTACAAATATCAGCCTAATGTCTTTTGTCAGTGCTGTTTACCCTCCTGTTCTCCTCCATTCTGTCCTGGAAATACTGGGAATGGAACCCAGAGCCTCGTGTATGCTAGACAGCCCTCTACCTCTGAGCTACGTTCCCAGGCTCCTCATTCCCATTTGCAAAACTACAACTTGCCCTCCAGTCCCTTGAAATCTCCACCTCCTTCTAGGTTTATTTTTCACATTGTGCTTATCACCTAATATACATACTTTCCTTATTATGTTTACTAATTAATACCTGTCTATTCCCACTAGGATTTAAGCTCCATGAGGACAAAGATGCTGGTCTTATGCACCTGTGTGGGTTCACTAACCCAGGTGATGCTGGACACAGTGCTGCGCACATGTAGTCCAAAGTACTTTCAGGATGAAGGCAGGAAGATCACTTGGGGCTAGGAGCTCCAGATCAGAATGGACAACATAGAAAGACCCCATCTTCTAAAAACAAATACAAGGTGAATGGACGGTGTGCCAAAGGTGGTATTTTATGAGTATTCACAACTATTATGAACAGTTCCACTTCACCTGGTTCCTCTTACTTTCCTAACCCCATCTCCTTATCTTTCTCATGCTAGCTCAGCTGCACTGCCCTCTCTTTTCTCCTGAGCTCTCCCTGTATGCTCTATTCTTTCATCCCTCCATTCCGGACCCCTGGCCCCAGGCTTTAGTTTACAAGGACTTTGAGGGTACAGGTCAGTTCCATCCCCCGCTTGCCACCCCTAACAGTGCTCCTCACTCATCACATATCAGACCTTTTGTCTTCCCAGCCAGACAGTGTTCAAGAAGAGATTTTCTGGGACATAGTTTGACGGCATCTTCTACACCCTGCCCAAAACATGTGGCAGGGCCTCAGCTCAGAAAGCCCTAATTCAATGAGTGAATGAGAAATGCTAACCACGGGGATTATGTTTCTAGCACTTAGACATCCATTGAATGTTATTGTATTTTGTGCTTATTTTTAGGTAATAATAATTGGTAATATTTTCCAACTCTGTTGAAGCAGGTATTTAAGTGTCCTCAAGATATGAAGACTTTGGCCATCCGTGAGGTGAAGGTATCTTTTTAGGATCACATGGGTGGAAATGTTGGTGCAAGTTTCAAGCCAAGACATTCTGGCACCAAAGTTTACACAGGGTCACATCATGCAGTCATTTTGCCTTTGGGTTTTTTCTTTCATTTAGTTCAGAGTTAGCCAACTAATTCTTCCCTTTCCCAAGGATGGCAAAGAACAACCCATGTCATCTTCAGCAAAGGTCTTATGTATGGGGGATTGGTACCCACACCCCATGTTACCAAAGTGGAAATTAGCCCACAGAGGGCAAAGCACTCATGTAGGTCAACATTAGCATCATCTCTGCCAAATCCTTTCCACGTCTTGTCTTACTTCAGGCTCTACTTTTAGTTTAACTAAAGTAGATTCTTGTCTTCTGACATCTGTTTCACATTCCACTGGATTAAAATGACTCAGACCATTTCAGTTTAAAGTAATATCAGGTAGACATAGTGGCACATACTTCTAATCCCAACTACTCAGGAGGCTGGGGCAGGAGGTTTGTGAGTTTCAGGCCAGTTTGGGTTACATAGTGAAAAATCCTTGTCTCAGAAAAACTAAATAGACCACTAAATGCATGAGAAAATGATCAATAGTACTGGAATTTAGAGAAATGCAAATCAAAACAATACAGGTTACACCTTATTCAAGATAGAATGGTTATTTGCAACAACTCAAAAAAAAAGTGCTGGTGAGGTTGTGCAAGAAAAGGAACACTTCTACATCGTTGGTAGGAATGTAAACTCCAACAACCGCTATGGAGATCAGTATGGAGATGCCTCAAAAACCCAAAAATAGAGATTCCATTTCACCCAGTACATCTCTTAGGGGTATCTTCCGGAGTTAAAGTGATCAGATCATGGTAATACAGACATACCTGTGCTCACAATTGCTAAGTCACGGAAGCAGCCTACATGCACTTCAATAAATGGATAAAGAAAATGTAGTATACAGATATACACAGTGGAGTATTATTTAGCCATTAAGAAAGACAAAATTGAATCATTTGCAGAAAAATGGATGGATTTTGAGGCCGTAATAGTAAATGAAACAAATCAGAGAAGGTTAAAATTTGGATTTCTCTGAGAGATCCAAAATATAAATAACTTAATGAACAAAATAAAAGAGGGGAGACAGAAAACAAGGGAGGTAGACCTTGCGGAGATGGGAAGGAAACCTGGAGGAGGGAGTAAAAAGCACGAAGACGCCATATATACAGAGACAAATACAATTCATCCATGTGTTGCAAATATATACTAATTGTTTGTTTGTTTGTTTTGTTTTGCTTTAACACACCTAAACCAACCCAACCCAATCATTTTCCCGTCAGGGAAATGAGATTCTGAAAGGAGAGATATTGTGTCCAAGGTCAGGCAGGACAATCACATTTACTTTACCCAAATAACAAGGCACGTCTATTTCTAAACGCAGAGCTCTAATGGAGGATAATTACTGCTCACGATTTATTACTCATGATGCGGTATTAAACATACTGTGCCCTGGAAATCACTCCTCCCCCTCCACAGTATCCCCTCCTCCGCATCCCTTCCAGGTGCAGCCGCAAAGCCTGGGTCTTTTGTGATTGGATGACTGTAATCCAGTCCTCGTGGTCACCTCCCAATGAGGGCTGGGAGCCACAGAGCTGCACCAATCGGTGGTTAGCGGACCCCCAACAAGGGCCAGTCAGGGGACTGGGGCTCAACAGGGCAAGCCACGAAGAGCCACCAATCAGAGGAGAGAAGCGACTCCCAGCTGCTCAATCAGCTGCCTAAGACCTAGGCGGCCGGCTGCGCCGCGCGAGGCTCTCTGCTGGCCAATCAGCGCAAGGCGGTGGTCGCCGCGCGGGAGGCGGTGCCTATCGGCGCTGCGGGGTAGTGGGCTCTGCGAGAGGCCGGGTGAGGAGAGCGGCGGCAAGGGTCCGGGTTGTGGGGCCGGGGTCCAGTGGGGGTCTGAACGGGCGAGGGGGGCGGAGGGAGCGGAGGCGGGGTGGGTGGGCAGAGTCACGGTGGCGCCGGGCGGAGGGACTCTCAGAGCGTCGGGCGCGGCGCAGATCCGGAGGAAGGCGCAGCTGAGGTGGCGGTCGCCTGGCCCGGGGCGGGGGGCGGGGTTGCCATGGCAACGCGTGGGCGCCTGCAAGCCAGGCCGATCCTTCCCTGTTCCCAGCTTGCTGGAACTCGCTCCTCTCTTAAAGCCCCTCAGTCCGCTCTCCCTGGAGGTTCCCCTGTGTGGTGGGACCTGCAAAGCAGTCGCCCGCTCTCCACCGCCCAGTCCGCGCCGGAGCGAGACGTGGCTCGCGGGGGCTCCGGTGCAGCAGGCCCTTCGGCGTGACCCCTGGGCCAAGACACAGCCTTTTGGTTGCTGAGCCGCAGCTGGGGTCTAGCTCAGCCACGGGCACAGTAGGGATGCTGCTGCTCAGGGGACCTGAGCTCTCCCCCAGGATTTTTGTAAAAAACTACCCCTGCATAAGTGCTCAGGGGTGAGATCTGACTGAATAAGGACTGTGCTGGCAGCTTTCCATCCCGTGGGGCAACTATGGCCAATAAAAATAGAAAGCAAACCACATATGTAATTTTACATTTCCTAGTAACCAGTAAAGTAATAAAACAGGTTAATTTTAATATACTTTACCTAATATATGTGAAGTTTATAACTATTAAATTATTAACACAATGTTTGAAACTCTTATTTTTTTCATACAAGTGGTGTGTATATGACAACACACATCTCAGTTCCAGCCATTCAATCCCTCACTGCCCCATTTGCTACTCTATTTATTGGAGAGGGGGATAGATCCTGGGGATTGAGCCAGTGAGGCATCACACATGCTACGCTGGCTTTCTTCCAGCTTAGACCAAGTTATAGTCCCAGTTCCTAGTGTACAGTAGGAACATTTCTTGCATATGTGCATTGTGGCCAGGACATTATGTCGAAGTCACCAGTATTCTTTGAAGCCTTCCTGCCCCTCTGTTTGCAAGGAGGTGTTGTCCATGTAGCAACAAGAAGGTATCGTCCTTTTCTTCAAGGAATTTCCAGTCTAGTTGAAGAGAAAATAGCTATCTAAAGATTAAGTGGTCTTTTAAATGGATATAAGTCAGGCAGTAGTTAAGATAACTGGAAATAGGGGCTGAAAATGTAATATATGCATCAAGAAAAAAAATAACTGGGAGTATATGGTTGAATGACAGTGAAATGGCTGATAATCACCCTTTGGAATTCATGGGGAGAAAACTTCAGGGTGGATAAGTCTGAGAATGCAGGAAAAGATGAGGATGGGGTTATAATTGGTTGGAACTGAATATAACTTTTTTTTGTTTTTAGGGGTGAAGTTTTGCCAAATCCAAAGGCTTTTGGACTGGAAAAGGTTTTCCTCTCCCTTGATATCTCCATCATGATCCACAGTCTCTTCCTGATCAACTCCTCTGGAGACATTTTCCTGGAGAAACACTGGAAGAGTGTTGTCAGCCGTTCTGTTTGTGATTACTTTTTTGAGGCACAGGAGAGAGCTACTGAGGCAGAAAACGTCCCTCCAGTTATTCCTACCCCTCACCACTACCTTTTGAGTGTTTACCGCCACAAGATTTTTTTTGTGGCAGTGATTCAAACGGAGGTCCCACCCCTGTTTGTCATTGAGTTCCTCCACCGAGTAGTGGACACATTTCAGGTTTGTGAGTGTGGATGGTTCATGTGTGCAAACTGTGAAGTATCTGTGTAGTCCTGTTTCTGTTGTATTCAATCTCAAGATAGGACAGTGTTTAAGAAATCCAAACTGATATTGCCTACTTCCTTGCCCATCTAAAATTCTTCTTTCTCTCTTTTATTTATTTATTTATTTTTGTATTTAGTTCAGGGTCTATAGGGTCTCACTAGGTATATCAGACTTGTAGTGATCTGCCAGTGTTCAGCCTCCCTAGAGCTGGGATTACAGGTGTGTGCCACCACACTCAGCATGCCCTGGGGGGCGGGACTAGCGTGGCCCTCCAGGATCAAACCCGGCAGGCTGCTCTGTCCACCTAAGCAGGTGCTTTAATCCACTGAGCTATTTGGTCAACCCTATTTTTAAGTTTTTTACTAGAGCTTGAACCTGGAGTCTTTGCACCCAGCTATATCCTCAGACCTTTTTTTTGAAACAGGATTTTATTACATCACCCAGATGGTGGGTTTCAATTTGTAATCTTGCTTCAGCCTCCCAGAGTACTGGGATTACAGGCATACATCACTACTCTTGGATCTTATTTCTTTGTTGAACTGGCTGCATCCATAATAACAAAATGGGTATTTTTGAATCTCTTGCATGATAAATCTCTGGCATGATAAATCTACCCTTGAATTGACCATGTAAATTATATAGTATTTTTCGTTCTGATTCTACAGTTTTCTCACAGATTAGTCTTGATCCTAAATCACTGTTAAATGTTGCTCTAAGTTATATCAAAAAGCAATAGATAGGGGCTGGTGAGATGGCTCAGTGGTCTAAAGCACCTACTTAGAACAAGCTTAGCAAAGCTTAGAACAATCGCCCAGCACTACATGCCAGCCAGCCCCGCCCCCTGGTGGGCTGAGCTGGCCACACAAATAAAATAAATAAATAAATAAATAAATAAATTTAAAAAAAATTTTAAAAAAGCAATAGATGTACAGTTTTAGAAGAAGTAGAAAAATCCAAATACTTATTTTAACTGTCTAAGTATGAGCTTTTTTTTTTTTTTTTTTTTTTTTTTTTTGTGGTTCCCTGGATTGAACTCAGGACCTGTGCATGCAAGGCAAGCACTTATTCCACTAAGCTATCTCCCCAGTCCCTGAACCCTTTTTTTACCTTTGGTTTAAGATGATTATCCATAGCATGTGAGTGCTAGTGATGAACTTTTGTTACAAATGTAAGATTAGGAAATATTCTGTGCCTCTAAGAATCATGACATACTTGTGGGGTAGAGTTATTATATTTGAAGATATTCTGGGGGCCTGGTGTAGAGGGCAGGTAAGTTATCCCAGGACATGAGTCCCGATCATACCACAGGACTTTACGCTTCTCACTGGATTCACACAATAGCTCCCCTCCAATAGAATTACACAACTTAGGCTGTGGTTGTTTGCATAACTTAGAAGCAAAGGCCCTTTGGTTTAACTTCTATGTCATGTGAAGTCTGGAGTTAATCACGTGTGGGACTTGTGGAATTGGAGAAGAGAATGAGAACACAAAAATTTAAAAGCAAATCAAGTTCTTTCATTTGTAGTCATCTCTGTATCACATGTCTAGTGCTGCTTTTATTCTCAAGAGAATTGAACTGTTTTATAAGTTATGTTCCTATAAGTACTTTGATAGTAGTATTCTGTGATTCTAATTTTCATGTAGTATGTAGCTTCTTTACATAGTGCAGATATGTGTAGCTCCGTGATAGGGTGCTGCCTAGCATGATTGAGACCTGGGGGTAATCCTAGTGTTATTTTAAAAAACAACCAAACAAAAGCAGAAGTGCTACAGGCCTCATTCTGTGAAGGAAGTAGAAATAGAAGAAACCATGATTTTAAACCACTCCTATAGGGTATTGTGTATATGATTTCTGAATCAACAGTATCATTGGTGAAGCTGCACATGCCTCATCTCGCCATACCACTGTTATGTAACTGTTAGAGACCAGGTAATGGGAGAGTTGTTTAAGCCATTTGAAACCACTGTGGAACTTGGGGAAACGGTACAGTTGTTTTGAAAGCCTGGGGCTTCAGACCTTGTCATTTTTGAAGCAGTTCTTAAAAATAAATGTACAATCCTTATTTCAGTACTTTTTTAAAATTGTTGTTCAGCCTCTCCAGCAGTATTATTTTTCTAGTACTAGAATATGATGAAAGGGACCCAGCTAAAGAATTGCAAGCAGTTGTGACATAGCACTTTGACATTTTGCAGCTCTTTTTTTTTAGCTGTTTATGTTATGTTACATCTGGTTTGTACAATCTGATGAAGTGTTCAATTTTTAAAATAAAATCATTCTTGAGAAGGAATCATCATTTTTTGTTTTTGGAACATATATCTAATTACTAAGCGATTTGGATGCTACAATTTCACTGGTAATTGACATCTGATACAGTTTAGATCACATAGTATGAGTCTTTTCAGTATGATATATGTGCTGCTGAAGTGAGCACAATCTTTTTAACTGTGCATGTCAAAAGAAATTTCAGGGCTGGGTAGATAGCTCAGCAGCATAAGTGCCTGCCTTGCAAGCACAAGGTCCTGAGTTCAATCCCAGGTGCCAAATAAATAAAAAAAAAATAATTATAAAGTAGTGACATGATCTGAAAACTATTCTATAGTATGAGTAGTGAGAGTTTGTCCCTGAAAAAGAAAAAAAGGTAAAAGTTTATCTCAGATACATTTTAGATAATGACAGGGCAAATGTGTAAACTTGCTCTGTAAGACAGTTAGGAAGCAGAGCACTTACCCTAAATGTGTAAGGCTGAGGGTTCCATCCCTAGCACCACCAAGAAAAAAGTATTCTTTACAATATTTTTTCACATAGAAGTATTCTATCAATGCTTTTTTTCTAATTACAATTTTAAGTATGGTTTTGAAGCAGCAGCCCTTATTAAAGGGCAAGAATCTTTTTTTTTTTTTTAAACTGGGGATTGAACTCAGGCCCTTGCACTTGCCAGGGAAGTGCTTATTCTACTGAGCTATCTCCCCAGCCCCCCGAGCTATCTCCCAGCCCCCTCTAATTACAGAAGACATGATTATTACAGAAACTTCAGAAATATACAGAAACACAAAAGTCTTTGAACATGTTCATAACGAGGCTGCCATTAGTATGTCTTGCTGCTGGGCACTGATGTGACTGCTTGTTACTGGTGGCACATGTGACAGCTGCACTGCAAGGTTTGTACCACCAGTGCCACTGTCTGTGCTGCCCAATGGGGCAGTCGTGCATCTGGGGTTCAAGCTGGTGGGAGCACGTTAAGCCCACTCTTTGCATGTGCTGCTGTGTATACTCCTTTTTTTTTAAATAATGTATTTGGTACAGGGTCTCACTACACAGCTTGGACTCAGTGATCCTGCTGTTTTCAGGCTCTCCAGTGCTGAGATTACAGGTGTGCACCACCCAGCCTAGACTCAGTGACCCGCTCAGCATGCCCAGGTACAGGGCTGGTGTGGCATGTGGTGCCTGGGATCGAACCTTAGTCCCTGTGCTTGCCTAAGCAAGTGATTAGTCCACTGAGCTATCTCGCCAGCCCTAGTTGTTTTTTGTTTGTTTGTTTGTTTTGTTTTGTTTTGTTTTGTTTGTTTTTTTGGCCACTTAGGATACCTTCAGGGCAGGTCTGGTTTGGCTTGAGGATGAGGGAATCAAACCACAGCATCCTGAGCCTGACTGCTTTGTTCCAGCAGGCACTGAAACACCTGAGCTAATGGGCAGCCCCCCCCCCCCCAGTTGTATATATTGCTTACCATTTCTAGAGAGAGTGATAGAATATTTGTAAGCAAAACTCACATTTTTAAATTCATATTTTAAAAATATTTTATGAGCATATGATATTCTGTATCATCTTCAATGCCTCTGTAGTTTCTTTCCACGTTAAAAACTACAGTTATTTATTTATTTCATTCTTTTTTTTACACACCTATAATATTTATTTATTTATTTATTTCCATAATTTTATTGAGAAAAAATAGCAATGAGACAGTTTCAATAATTAACACATTTCAATAATCAAATTGGTAGGACAGTTTCAATAATTAACACATTGCATGCTCTCTTCCTGGTGGTTATTTGCTGTACAAGATGCAGACATGATATCCTATTTACAAACACTATTAGAACAAATCCCTCTATTCATTAAGAGAATGTAACTATATATCTATCCTAACCATTTTGAATACATAGATACAAAATGGGCATTCATATTTATTTCATTCTTAGGGTGCTTTTTTGTGTTTTTTGTTTTAATCTTTTATTTATTTATTTGGTAAAAGCTCTCACTACAGAGCTTGGACTTATAGTGATCCTCTTCTTTCAGCCTCCCCAGAGCTGGGATTACTGGTGTGCACTACCATGCCTGGTTTCAGTGGCCTACTAGACACGGGCTGGAACAGCATGAGGTACCAGGGATCGAACCTGGGTCCTTGTGCTTGCCAGGCAGGCGCTTACACTGCTGAGCTATCTCTCAGCCCTTTTTTGTTTTAGATAACAAGAAATTAACATTCTTATGCTTTTATTTATTTTGAGACAAAATTTGGCTGAATTACCCACAATTTGAATTCACAATTCAATCCCACCTCCACCCCCCGAGTACCTGGGACTGTAGGCACCACACTGTGTCCAGCTACGAACGTTGTTTATTTATTTTGTGGCACTGAGGATTCAACCCAAGATTACTCTCCCAGCAAGCCATATCTCCAGCCGCCCCCCTTTTTTTTATTTTGAGGCAGGGTCTTGCTAAGTCTCCCAAGTTGGGCTCAAATTTTTAGTTCTGCCTCAGTCTCTAGAGTGCTGGCGTTGCAGGTGTGCTCTAATGCGTCCGGTGATACTCTTTCTGTTTAGATCTTTGTGAATATTCTTTTCAGTACTAAAAATGGGAATACTGGGTCAGGGAGTATGTACATTGTAGGGACTTTCATGCCTTGTGTCAAGCTGCCCTCAAAATGTGAACACCAGTTTTTGTTTCAGTAGCAGTTTCTGCGCACTGTACAACTGTATTGTAAATAACTTAGAAATCAGTTTGACAGTTTGTTGACATTTTGTTATCTGTACATTGTTTTTACTAGAGAGGTCAAAACCTGTTCAAATGTTTACTGATTATTCTGTCTGTAGTGAATTACTTTTCCATGTCCATTGACCTTTTTTGTAGTGGAAATGTTTTTCTTGTTCATACTGATATAGAAGAATTTAGTCATTTAAGGTTATATTCCAATATATGTGATAGTTTATAGGGGTTTTTATGTATTTTAAATCCGGCTCTGTCGATATAATCTCATAACCTGTCACTTGTCATTTAATATCGTGCATGGTGTTTTATTTAGCCTTATTTTTTGTAATTCAATTTTTTGGTAAATTTTCGTTATATATAACGATCACTATTATAGGGAATTTGTACAGATTTCAGTTTAGCAAAAGAAAGAACTTGGATCAGAGCTCTCCATGAGAAGGATATGACTTCTCAGAAGGGTAATATCCCTTCATTGGGTAAAGTTGGGAAGGGTCACATGTCCATCTCAGAGACTATAAAAAAGAAGGGCTTGCTAACAACAGACATTTCTTCCTAAATCATTGACATCCATTCCCTTCATGTGGAGCTTTATACTGTACAAAGCATTTTCACTTGCTTCATCATGTATACAGTTGTTTTTTTGTTTTTATTTTGAGAAGGGCTTACAGGGTGTTCAGTGTCTCACTACTAGATTGGACTCGTAGTGATCCACCTATTTACAGTCTCACATGTGCTGGGATTACAGGCGTGTACCATTATGCCCAGTCTCAGTTGCTGTCTCAGCATGCCCCAGGGGCAGGGCCTGCATTGACCGGCCTCATGTAAGCAGTTCTATTGAGTACTTACAACTTCCTTCTACATCCAAATGATGTTATCTTGATTAAAGCAATCAAGACCCATATTAACATGACTTAATCCAGTAGTGACAGGTGGGGAAGTGTGGCTCAGTGGTAAAGCATGTGCTTAGCATGTGCAGGTTTCCATTCCTGGCACCAACAAAATAAAACCAAATCCAGTAAGTGATAATTGAGATTATAATCCAGGTCTTGTGATTGTAGTATTCAGTGCTTTTCCCAAACCCAGATAATTCAGTATTTAAATTTATCTCTTTTATTCTTTTTAGCTTGAGATGGGGTTGTCTGTGCTGAGGGATTGCCCATGTTCATTTTTGTTATCATGCTGTCCTGGAAACTCCTGAGCTTAAGTCATCCTCCTGCCTCAGCCTCCCAAGTGCTGGAACTGCAGGCGTGTGCTACCGTGCTTAGCTATGTTAGCTTCAGTGGTAAAAGGACAAAGTATTCTTAGAATCCTAGCATGGGGGAAGACGCAAAGCACTTTTCTGCCCTGCTGGCTCATCACCTGTCATTTAATTGTCCCTCATCTCTAACTTGCTGCATGAGTGTTAGGAAAAAGCACAAGAGGAGGGATTAAAAAGATTTTACAGTGGGCCAGGGGGATGGCTCAGTGGAATAAGCGCTTTCCTGACAAGCGAAAGGGCCTGAGTTCAATCCCCGGTTCCACAAAAAAAAAAAAAAAAAGATTTTACAATTCTGTGTCGTATCTACTGTTACAATTGTACGTTATTCTTTTAAAGTCTTGTTCCTAAGAACAGATAACCTAGATTGAATTTTGTATTATGTGTATTTCATCAAGTTTAGGAAATTAACTGAGGAGGCTAGTTGATATCCTCCTGCTTGAAGCTCCTAATAATTAATACCCGGCACTGGTACAAGGTGGCCCAGAAAAACCTGACTCTGTTCTGTTCCCTCACTGAATGAGAGTGACTAAAAAATACCATGTAGATGTGGGGCAGACCCGTACTCTATAGGAACATACTTTTTTTTTTTTTTTTTTTTTTTTTACAGGTTCTGGTGATAAATATTTATGTTCTATCTTCATCAGGATTATTTTGGAGTATGTTCAGAGCCAGTGATCAAAGACAATGTGGTTGTGGTTTATGAGGTCCTGGAAGAAATGCTTGACAATGGGTTTCCCTTGGCTACTGAGTCAAACATCCTCAAAGAACTGATCAAGCCTCCCACGATCCTTCGGACAGTTGTCAACACCATCACAGGTATGGTTTGTGGACCACAGTGGCTGCCTGCCTCCTCGATGTGGCCTTATTTGAGCATATGTCATGTGGAGTGATTTTGCTCTTTATGGTCTCTATGTCTCATCAAAAGTTACATACATCTTTTGTGTAGAACATATCCTGTTCTCAGTGGCAAGATAAAGTATTCATGGGTGGGCCCTTTGTTCACGGCTGTTTTTATAAGGGTTACATGACTCCCTTCCACCTGGAAGCTGCCATAACTGTATTGGCTTCCAGGTCCCTTCTGCCCAATGCCATTTCTTCCAGTGGTGTGTGTGGAGCTTTTTCCTGTCTGTTTACTTGTCCTTGACCTAACCTTTGAGGCGTCCGCTTTGGGGTGAGTGGCTGGTTGTTCTGGGGGGGCTTAGTCTTGGTTAGCTTAGCATTAGTAAGGGGTGTGTGGATATTTGTTGTACTCTCTAATGAGCCTAGAGTGTGCAACATAGTGACTCTAGAGTGAGTATACATGTTTATATATGTATACATTAGTGATATGTGTCTACATATCGCCTTAGTCAGCACCTCCTTTGTTTTCCCTGTATTTTATTGGCAATAGGGTGGCGTATCTTTTGTGTACCTGGCTTTCTCTGTGTGCCTGGCTTGTCAGTTCTTTTTCTGGTCTCTTGATGCAAGTCCTAAGGCCCATGTGATAGCTTTTTTTATCCAATCTTTTTTTTCCTCCCTACCTCTGTCTTTGACTTGCTTCCCAGGGGAATCTCTCAAATTGTTTTTAACTCCTTCTAGTCAGGATTAGCTGGAAGACCTAAGGAGACCCCTGTTTTATTTTCTTTTTTACAGGCCTCTGCTTATAGAAGGATATAATCTGTATTCTTTGCCTAAACTTCATTATTGGTGTGAGCTGGATCATGTTGATGTGTACATCTTCATACCAACCATTAATGTACCTGAGAACCTCTTTCAAACTAGAATTAGTTTTTTACCCATCAATATCTTATATCAATATGTAGAATAACAATCCTCCAGAAAAATTAATGTATTACTTAAGCTGCAAGCTATTGTGATATTTGAGACACTAAGTTCATGTTACTTTCAAAACCACACTATGATATCTGCTTCTCAGGTAACTTTTTAAAAGCCTTTACTCTGCTTGAGGCAGACCAGGTGGCAACAGTGAGTTTTAAAAATAGACGAAGTTGCCCTACATAGAAGTTGGGAAAATGCTCCTCTATGTGATAACACAGGAATGGTGAGCACAGAGATCCTTCTAGGGAAACGTTCTCTCCTTACTAGAATTTACTAGAACAGAACTGGCATTAAAGTGCTCATTGGATTCTACAAGGACCAATGCCACCGTTTTTAGGAAGCACCAATGTGGGTGACCAGCTTCCCACGGGACAGCTGTCGGTGGTGCCTTGGCGACGGACGGGCGTGAAATACACCAACAATGAAGCCTATTTTGATGTGATTGAAGAGATTGATGCCATCATTGATAAGTCAGGTGGGTGCTCCTATGTTGTTGTGAGAGATAGAAAAATGCAGTGCCCTTCTCGCATTGCCCTTGCTAGTCTCTGACATAGCCCCCTCTGAGGATCATTCGTTTTAATTTAGTGCTGACTTTGCTAGCTGCTGTGCTGCATAATAGGAATGAAATTTAATATTAAGATGCACACCAGTGTTTGCCTCATACTTTTACTTCTTTATAGAATTTTTACTTTCTTGAATAAAAAGGGAAGTAGCAAACTAATATCTTGATTAGATTTCTCCTTGTTAATTGGAAATATTTGACTCCCAATTCCAACTTCAGAACTAAAATTGTAATTATTAAGAGCCAGGGTATTGAAACTGTCCTACCAATTTGGTTTGAAACTGTCTCATTGCTATTTGTTTCTCAGTAAAATTATGGAAAAAAAAAAAAAAAAAAGAGCCAGGGAATCTTCTTTTCTGTCTATTCTGAATTAAGTAAATTCTAAGACTAGAAGTCTTAGAGCTTAGAAATGCATAGAAGAGTCCCCTTAGTGAACTTACCCACCCAACACGCTAACTGGAAGCTTGTTGCACCATAGCCCCTACCGGCTCATGGGTGCTGATCAGGAATAAGACATATCAGGAAGGCTTAGGTAAACTCTGGTGAAGCAGAAAGGAGGTAAAAAAAAAAAAAAAATGTGAGCACAGAGGAGGCATCCTCTGTCCTAAGCAGAGTGCGCACAGATGATCGTGTGTATGCTTTGCAGTGGGATGAATAGAAGTTTTTAAGACCGGGATTGATTTAGGTGCAATCACTGATGAGTGCAGTTGTCCTAATACAGTGGTTCAGGGTGACTGAACTGAGTAAGTGATGTGACCTTAAAATTAAGGCAACAAAGCAACTTTGCATATTAGTCCAATGGGAGATAAGCAGATATCCACCAGAAATACAGAATGGTTAATGGGGCTGGGGAGATAGTTGGGGCCGGGGAGATAGCTCGGTAGAATAAGTGCTTGCCTGGCAAGCACAAGGGCCTGAGTTCAGTCACCGGTGCTACAGGAAGGACCCCCCCTTTGGCTGGCCCAGAATGCCTTGAGGGCAGGTTTGGCTGGCTTGAGTTCTGGGGATTGAACCACAGCAGTCTGAGCCTCAGGACTGTTTAAGAAGCCAGTTCCACAAGAAAAAAAAAAAAAAGGTTAATTAAATTTTGATGTACACAGACAGTGAAATACTGTGCAGTAGTGAAAAGAATGAACTATATACTGTAGAGTCCACAGTATAAATGAATCTCATAGTATTGAGCACAAAAGTGAGATGTATGAGATTATATACAGTTTGGTTACTTTTATCTGAAGCCTGAAAATAGGCACAGTTTAAGATTCGAGAAGTCAGGATTTGGGGGATGTCATTACTGAGGAATGACATTAAGGGACATGCCAGGAGAATCAAAAGCTTCCATATCGTGATGTGGGTGCTATTTACATAGATGTATGCATGTCTGAAAATTCACTGAACTATAAGTTTTGTATTTGACTATTTTATACCAATGGACAGGATGTGGGGACTGAGGAAACAGAAACAGTCAAAGATCCATTTGTGCTGCTGGCTTAGGCAACATGATAGCTGGGACCATCCTGAGAGTACGGAAAGTAGGAGCAGGTCCAGGGCGTCAGATAACAAATTCACTCACCTTTTGGCCTGGAAAGACACTAAGGGTGGGGACCTGGGGAAATGAGAAAAGTAAGGAGCGGTTAGGAGAGAGGAGCATTTGGGACAGAAGAATGGTCAGCGGTGACAGGTGCTGCAGTTAGGCCCTGCAGGGCACAGACCACAGGTATCCATTTGACAGAGCATGGAGCCCATTGTGACCGAGGGGAGAGCAGTTGCTGATGAGTTTTCTGCACCATTGGTTAGGGTAATGATGTTCTGTGTGATTCTGCTACTAGATTGAAAACTTGAGGCTAGTAGCTGCCTCGTTAACCTTTGTGCCCATTACTTCCTAATAGCATCTTATACTTGGTCTGAGTTGGTAAAGTTTGAAAGGATACACAAATACAAGTGAATTGATGGTGAGACAGAAGGAAGGAGGAAAGGAAGGTGGGGGAAGAAAAAAAAGGAAGGAAAGATAGGAAGAAATAAGGAAGTTATGTGGGAGGACCAGAGAAGTGGTCTGTGACCTTTTTGTCTCCTTCCTGTCTCAGGCTCCACAATCACTGCAGAGATCCAGGGGGTGATTGATGCCTGTGTGAAGCTGACTGGGATGCCAGACCTTACGCTTTCCTTCATGGTAAATTCTGGGCAGAGCTTGAGTTCTTGAGATGGGAAATTAAATGCTTCTCGAAAGATGGAGTGGTACGAATGAATAGAGTAAGAAGACATAATTAGGGAAGCACCAAATCTTAATATCAGGTTTGAATTTTCTGCAAGTACAGAATTTCTCTGTGTGTGCACATATCTTTTGGTTAAAATAGCATCTAACTTGCTTTTCCTAAAAGAAGTACAGTGTCGATCTGACTTCTCACTTTCCTGCCTGGTGACTGCAGAACCCCAGGCTGCTGGATGACGTCAGCTTCCATCCTTGTGTTCGTTTCAAGCGCTGGGAGTCTGAGCGGATCCTCTCCTTCATCCCTCCCGACGGGAACTTTCGCCTACTCTCTTACCATGTCAGTGCACAGAAGTAAGCAACTCTCATCACTCAGATAGGAACTGTGTCTATACATTTATGTGAAAACAGGATTTGTAGTGATTACAAATTAGGCTCTAGAGTTGCCTGGCCTCAAGTCCCAGCTCCAGTAGTTATTAACTGTCACCTCGGGGGAGTTGCTTCCCTATTCTGTGTTTTCTTATCTGAAAATAATGAAATTACCTTTTTATGAGGATTAGGTGTGAGAATATAAGTAGTCCTTCACATGAAGTAAGGGTTCATTAAGTTTGCTGCAGTTACTTTTGTTATCGTGTCCAAAGAAGAACATTTTTTTCTCCTAAATTAGAAACTCAGCATAACTATATTCAATATCCTGGCTCCCCAAAACACTCTAAATCATGCTGTGAAACAGTAAATAGTCCTGAATATTCTCTTCAGTTTGGAGTAGAAAAAGCTTTGGAAGCAGTATTGTGCCAAAGGTATGCATTGAAGATATCTTGAGACCTCACAGCTGCCAGGACCTTCCTGTGTGATTTGGAATCAGTCATTTAGGGAAATATTTGGGTGCTTGAGGTCAGAGGCCCTGAAATCAGACTGTTTGGGCTTTAACTCCACCTTGAGAATAGTACATGGAGTATGTGACCTTAGGCAAGGTATGTAACATCGGTTAAATATAAAGACTTCAATGTTCATCTACCCAGCCGTTGTGCACTTAACACTTTATACTTATTGGGAGGTTACGTGAGGTCAGTAGTACAGGCCAAAGGCATTCAGCATGGCAACTGGCACACCAGAATTACTTAGCAAATGCCAAGAACATTTATTATTATTTTGGAATTATTCTGTGGTTTCTCTGTTTCCTCTCCTTTCAAATCACAACTGTACCTCTTGGATTTTGTGAGGTTCCTGTGAAGTCAGATAAAAACACCCTCAAGAAATTAAGTGCCATTCTGTTGGAGCCTCCGGGGCACACTGAGACAGCAGTTGAGACTGGGTGTGGTGGCACACCTCTAATCCCAGCATTTGGGAGGCGAGGAAAACAGAAGAATCGCTATGAGTCAGATCTACATAGTGAGACCCTGCAGACCCTGGATGAAATACATTAAAAAAAAAGAAATTATTAAAAAGTTCTGAGGTATGAGTGTTACTCTCCACAATATAAAAAATGACTGGTTATATTTCACAAAGCATAGAAACATAATGACTCCATTTTTGATTATTATTCTTTTTGCATATAGTACCCTTGGTGTGCTCTTTGATTTGATTTTGCTAATATTTTTCAGAGTCAACAGAAAAATTAGGGCTGGAAGATAGCTCAGTAGCATAAACACCTGCCTGGCAAACACAGAGTCCTGAGTTCAATCCCCAATACCAAAAAAAAAAAAAAAAAAAAGGAAAAAAAACCCCTTAGTTTATTTACTAGATAGCATCTTAATATTTCAAGAGTTATGACTGCTTTTTTTATATTTTTAAGAAAAGGAATAAGGACATAGATAAGGGAGAAAAAACTGGGAAAAAAGAAAAGGAAGGAAGGAAAGAAAGAAAATAATATAAAGAGAGGAAATAATTTTTCCAGCACATTTGTGAAGTAGACTCTGTCTCTCTTTTCTAGTCTGGTTGCAATTCCAGTGTATGTGAAACACAGTATCAGTTTCCGGGGCAGTAATTCGCTTGGACGCTTTGAGATAACAGTGGGGCCGAAGCAAACGATGGGGAAGACCATAGAGGGAGTGACTGTCCTCAGCCAGATGCCCAGAGGAGTCCTGAACATGAGCCTCACTCCATCCCAGGGGACGCATACATTTGACCCAGTGACAAAGGTAGGGGGAGAAACAGGATATTTTGAATTACATGAGTATATCTGCAGGTAGACTTGAGACCTTGTTTAGAAGGCAAGGTTAACAAAGAGACAGTTTCTCCTTTGAAATAACTTTTGGTGACAAATAGGACTCTATTGAAAAACACCTCAAAGGCAGCTTATGATTCCTTGAACAGAAGACCTCGGGTTAGAGCTCCGCTACCTCCAATGAAGTGATTGGAATTAAGGAACATAATGTTTACTTCATTTTTTTCACTATAAATTAGACCACTTTTTAAAAAAAATTTTTGTTTTTCTTTTTAAAGATGCTGTCTTGGGATGTGGGAAAAATAAATCCTCAAAAGCTACCAAGTTTGAAGGGGACCATGAGTCTACAGGCTGGAGCTTCCAAGCCAGATGAAAACCCCACAATTAACCTGCAGTTTAAGATCCAGCAGCTGGCCATTTCCGGTGAGTGACCCATACCTTGGGTGGCTATCTGGGAATGGACGTGGCTTTCTCTCATATGGTGTGGGCATTAGGAGGGAGGCCTTCCTCCCTACTTTTAAGATGTGGTTTTGTTACCTGATGTGTATCTTAAGGAAGTCTTTTCCAACATACTTCTGGGGGAAGTTTAAGGTCCTTACTTATAAGTTGACCTGAGTGTCTAAGACACACCTGCAAAAGAAATGCCATTGGTAGCCAGCAGTGTTTGTGGGCTGCTTTTCTGTCGTGTTACCATTGTTGATTGGAGTTTCCTGAAGTCTTCAATAGATGAGTGCTCCTGCATCCTTAGCTAGTAATTGAAAAAGTTACAAAAGACTTTTGTTTATGTTGAGTATCACTGTGGAACCATTGGACCTATGCAGCCTAGGCTCTCTGGTCTGCACCTTCTTTAGGATGATAATGATCATAACTTGCCATTTACTGGGTATTTATTATATGCAAAGCACTCTTTAGCTCTTGTATTTTATTATTTTACAACCCCATGAAGTGGAAAGGAAATGATTTTAAGTTTTTATAATGTTCCTGTTTTTCTTTACTAAAAAACCTCATTTAAGTGATTAGAATTAAGTTAAATTATAAGCTTTTATTTTAAAGCATTTAATAAACTATAAAGCTATATATAGCATCAATTTTTTGCTCATTACAGTGAGAACTCATTCTCATTGATTAATTCATTCTCATTTAGTTATAATTTATTGCATTATAATTCATTAATTTTGTTCTTACTAATTTATTTACTAAGTCCAGTAACTTCAGAAAAACATAATGTCATCTTATTTTTTTCTTCCTGTCATTTAAGACTGCAAATAATTTTCTATCCTTTCCACTTTAGCAAGAGATCTTCTCATAGGATAACTTACGGTTGAAGCAATTTCTTGTTGTCAGCATATCTGCTCAGAGTGAAGAATCTGTCAGCTTCATGGAAGTGGTTTATTTTTTCAGAAATTTCTGTTGTACAAACTGAATTAAATGAATGTAAGTAGTAATGAGACATAGTTATCCTGAATAATTCCCATTATTTTATCTTTCCTTCCTTCCTCCTCTCCAGGACTCAAAGTGAATCGTCTGGATATGTATGGAGAAAAATACAAACCCTTTAAGGGTATAAAATACATGACCAAAGCTGGAAAATTCCAAGTTCGAACCTGAAGGGAGAGTTTTGTAGAAGGAACAACCATGAACACTTTTTCATTTCTTACTTGTCTAAAAGTAAAAAAAATCAGCCTGTCTCTTAGGTCAGTCCCCCCAGGACTCACCAGCTCCCTTTTTTCCTTAGCCTTGAGTGCCATGGAATTCATGAAGGGAGAAAAGGGTTACCAGGGAAAATGGGACTAAACTGAAACACAGTGAGTGCCAGCTTAGTCTGAAGGAGGTGTGTGCTGAAGACCGGTGGTACCACCATGTTTAACTGCTCTTAACGTGGCTCCTGTGGAAAATGATAAGCATTTGTTGCTTGCTTGGCTTTAATTATCTAAAGCCAGTGAAAGATTTCTTTATTGATTCTTTTTAAGGTAGAAAGATAAACAAGAAAGAAGAAAAAGGAAAGGGGGAAGGGAAAGGAAAAGATAAAGTAAAAAATGAATGTTGAAGAAAATGGGCTGAGGTTGTACTGTATGGTAAAGTCTTTGCCTAGCAGACTCTGGGTTCAATGTCGTGTGTGTGTGTGTGTGTGTGTGTGTGTGTGTGTGTGTGTGTGTGTTCTATGAAGGAGGAAGGGGAAATAATATTAAGGAAGAGTTGTAAGAAAGATGGGCCAAGAAAAGTGATCAGTTCTCTGTAAGGAGGTTTGGGAATAGTAGAGTTGAGTTGGTTTTTTCTGATCCCTTTAATATAGAAAAATCCTTTGTACTTCTGGAAATGAATAGAGCCTTCTTACACCCAAGTCCATTCTTGCCCTGGAAACTCCAATAGAATAAGATTTTCCCTTTCAGGTTCTAACTGTTGCTTGCCTTTAATACTTAGGCTGTTATCTTCTGTGAGGTGATCCAACTTCTTGCCAAAACAGTTGTACTCACATCACTCGGCAGAATTCGCTAGCCTTTTCTGGTTACCTGATCCTTCTTCAGAATTTCCTAAAGCATAGGAGAGTTTCAGTGCAGCCAGATTTCACGAGTCAGCATTGGAGTGGAGATGGCAGCTCCTTCCCCAGAAAGGGAGTCCACAACTGTAACTCAGTGATCCCCATACTCATATGCGTACCATGTCTGTGCCTGTGGTACTGGATCTTAAGCTTTCCTGCCTGAAGCTTCTCCATCAGCAGCCCTGAATAAAAAGACTACTGGCTAGTGAGGGCCTGAGAGGCTGTTAAAGCTTCATGGTAAAGTTGTTTCCTCAGTCTCATGTTCCGTACTCTCGTCTGTAATATATCTGCTAATGGTAACTTTTATCGGTCTACTTTTAAGACAAGTCCCTTAAAATTTTTGAATACAATTAATTCTGTAAGAAGACAGGCAATATTGATGGTATGTAACCAAGTCAGTGACAGAAGCAGGACAATTTAAGGACTACTTAAGGCTTTCTGAATGGCTAATTTTTATTCTGCACCCATGTTTTAATTACCCATTTTAATATTTAGGTAAAAGACAGGTTTGGGGCTTTAATTATTTTTGAATTATAGCTGAGGGAGTGAATCTGTGCTCTATATTGTGCATGGAAAAAAGGGAAGAACTGTGTTCTCCAAAATGTAGAACTTGTCTCTGAAGCCCCATTTCCCAATACTTATTTTTTTTTTTTTTTTTTTGGCTAGTTTTATCTTGCTGCATCCAGAACTTATTTCTGCCACAGCATAATACTGCTTTATGGTTTTCCTCTAGGATAAATTGTGCTATACACAGCCAGATGTTTCATACTTCAGCACTCCAGAATTTGTCCTAGATTCCTATGGCCTGTACATATCCTACCTTGGAAGGGGAAGTATCTCTGTGTGGGGATTCCAGAAACCACTTCTCCTGAGGGCTCTGAAGGGTTTAAGGTTCCTTAGGTCACAGGAAACCAGTAATCTTGGTTCCTGAAAACATTGTTTTATGAGTTATGTTTTATTTCCTCTAGGGCAACTCATCCCATTTTATGAGATATACTAAGTGAAAGTAAAGTGTCTATAGAGTGCAGGACCTTCGAACCTAAGCATGTGTGAAGTGTTACATGTGGATGTAGCAGACAAGCATCACACCTGCCGCCCACCAGTGTCTCAGCATGAGTAGTACAGGACATCTAACAGCTCTCCATATCTGTGTGTGGTTAACTGAAGTAGCTTGAAACCCTAATAAAGTTGAATTTTTCCAGTGTTCAGTGGTCTGTGTGGTTTGTTCCTAGCATGAACAATAATGTCATGCCATGTCTTCCTCAGTAGAAGTGACAAGGCCCCAGGTCACACATGTGTAGTTTGATACTCTATTCACCTCTGAAAGATAAGGGATGTGGATATTAAGGTCATTTTGAAGGTTGTGGCAACCAAGTTTCAGATCATCCAAATTATTTTTCATCAGGGCAGGAAAGAAGACAAGTGGAGCTGCCACTGGTATTTTGGTGCTTTCTTCTCCTCACATGCTCCTGTGGCAAACATGTAGGTAGGAAGCAGGACTGCAGGACACTAGACAGATGTATTTACTGTAGGAGAGGATCCTTGGAAGATAGGGATTGGTAGTCGACAGCGTACACACTGAGATTCTCATGTGTATCAGTTTTCTTCTGGAGACTGTCTACCAACCACAAGTGTCTAGTGTTTATTACTACTTGGCTTCTTTTTCTCTTGGCCATTCTGTAGTGCAGTAGTCTCCTTCTTACCTACAATTTTGCCTTTTCCATTTTCAGTGCCTGAGGTCTGAAATATTAAATGGTGAATTCCAGAAAGAAGCATTCATATGTTTTTAAACTGTGCATTGTTTTGATAGGTGGAGGAAGTCACCCACTGCCCTGCATCGTCCTCCCCAGTCTCCTCCTGCTTTGTTCCATTCCATCTTTCCTGGATGTGAATCATCCTCTTGTCCAGTGCAAATGCACCATTAACACTGACTGCACCATGGTCCCTTAGGGATTATACTGTCATGGTATTGTATTTGTATTCAAGTAACCCTTCTTTTTCTTAATAAAGGTTCAAACTACAAGAATAGTGATGCTGGAGATATATATATATATATATATATATATATATATATATATATATATCCTGGTGCTTCCCCAAAAGGAAAAAGTGAACAGTCTGAGGCACAAGAGGCAAGACCTTCCTCCAGGGAAGGGACTACAATTCCTGCTTTAAATTTAATGGGACTCAGAGAAAGATGCAAGAAGATGGCAAAGTAGTAAGCAGCAGAGAAAGAGCCTCTTGGAAGGTCACTGTCCAGACACTGGAATAGAGAAACGCGAGGAAGACAAGAGGCAAGTGAGTCCCCTGGGCTCAGGAAAGATGTGAAGTGAGAATTGAAGCCCATGGTGACAGTGAACAGAGAAACTTCAGTGAAGAAGGAGTTGGCTGCTGGTGCCTTCTCCCTGAGATGACTGCATGAGAAGAGTAGTTTAAACCTGCTGGTGATCCAGAGGCCTCCAATGAAGAGATAGTAGTGGAGGGGAGCAGTGGATATGAAGGACTGCACTAGCTGACAGTTACTGCTGAGGGATCAGTTGTCCCATGCAAGACAGAAACTGACCCAGAACCATCTTAGAGAGGGGCCGGTGGAGATTAGAACCCATCAGTTGTTAGTGCCATCTAGCAACTCCCAGCTGGGCTCAGCCGCACAGAAAGTGCACTGATGGCTGCACACAAAATGAGTCTGGTCTTGGGCAGAAGGTGTAGGCACTCTGAGATTATCCACTACCATGCCAAAAAAACCCAAAACTGTTACTGACTCGCTGGGATAAATCAACATGGATCAGGACTCTTATCTCCGCATGTTGTCTCCAAGTGTTAGTAGAGACAAACCTGGAAGTGCATTTTTTTTCTCTTTTATTGCTGTTACTATGCTTTTGTTATTTCTCCATCATTTGATCTTGTTTTTATATGAGTGCAAGTGTGGTTTCTAGCCTCTTTGTGGTTGTGGTTCTGCTCTTTTGATCTCATCCTTTTTTTCCTGAGAAAAAAAGTATATATTTAGAATTAGCCAGCTGAGCTCAGTTTAGATGATCCCAATTTTGTTGGCAATATCCAATGCATCATTAGGAACCAGTTGAACATATGCCTTCTCTCCATCAGATCTGATTAGGATATTGACCTTGGTGACATCAATGTCATAGAGCTTCTTTACAGCTTGATTTGTTGCTTATTGACTTTGACATCCACAAGGAACATGAGTGCATTGTTGTCCTCAGTCTTTTTCATGGCTGACTCTGTGGTCAGGGGGAATTTGATGATGGCATAGTGGCCAACCTTGTTCCTAGGGTTGCTCTTTCCAGGGTATTTGGGCTGTCTCCAGAGTCACGGTGTCTTGGGATGGCGGAAGGTGGTCAACATTCATATCTTGTTTTTGTGGTTGTGGATGCCTTTCAGCACGGCCTTCTTAGCCTTCAAAGCTTTGGCTTTGGCTTCAGCTTTGGGAGGGGCAGGGGCTTCCTTCTTCGCTTTTGGCACCATCTTGGTAAAAAGGCTCTGATCTCTTCCTTTATCCTTCCCTCCAATCTCCTGCATCAGTTTCCCAAAATTAGCAAGATCCCTGTTTGTCCTTAAGCCTTGTTTCTAATCTTTCCCTCTTCCTCCACTTCTCTATTATTTCCATAATCCACTTTAAATTTTAAACGCTGAAGGCAAAATTGACATATTAAGGACTTGTATACTGCATATAACTTTCTGGATATAGATTTTGTTGTATAGCCATAAAATCTAATTTATTGGAGTCCAAAAAAAGCAGGAGATAGCACAAATGAATTTGCAGAAGTCATGGCAGAAACTTACCTAGTGGAGAAAAAGAATTTGACATATAGGTAAGTGAAGCATATAGAACTCCAATTAGATATGATTAAAAAAATCTATAGCTGGCACATCATATTCAAGCCTCCAGAAATAAAAAATAATAGAACTTTAAAAGATGTTAGGGAAAAGAAATTACCTATAAGGGAAAGCCCACCAGAATCACAGATAACTTCTCAGCACAAATCTTCAAGTAAAAGAGAACTTGAAGTGCAGTGTTTCAAGTTCTAAAGGAAAGCAACCTTCAACCCAAACTGATGTCCCTGCAAAACTATCTTTTAAAACTAATCAAGAAATAAGTTATTTCCATGACAATTGAGGAA